TAATTAGCTAACATAGCTATAGTTTGAATTAATTACCACTTGCAACCTCTTTTTAGCTATAATTATGTGCTCCTCTCTCATCTCTTCCTCTCTCTCGCCTCTCTCATCTCTTATACATATACAAATTATACATATACATATAAAATTATATAACAAATATACAAATACAATTCGCCTCTCTCCACTTTCTTCCCTCTCTCACTCGCCTCACTCCTCCCTCTCCCAATCTCGCTCATCAGATATATAAATACATATGTATATCAGTTAAATATATACAATTATCTGACAAATATTCATATACAATTCGACATATATACAAATACACAATTCACCTCTCTCCATTCTCTGCCCTCTCTCGCTAGTCTCTCTCCTCCCTCTCTCTCTCTCGCTCGCCTCTCTCATCCCTCTAACATGTAGCTAGAAATCGTAATTAGCAAACTATAGCTATGGAGCCTAATTAAGTTATTTTTAGTGGCTATTTGCGAAATTTCATCTTCAAAATATTATATCCAACATAGGTATACTTAAGGATTTATAACAAATCTCTCTTCTCTTGCTCGCCACTCTCCTCCCTCTCCTCTCTCTCCCTCTCTTGCTTTTCTCTCTCCTTTCATGTTCCCTTCGCGTCTTCTCTACAATTTATTGTGTGAATCCTTCTTCTTCTCTCTCTATATTTTATATAAATATGAAACTCCACTAAAGTTTTACCTGAATTATTTTTATCTACACCTATCGATATTTTCTATTTTGAGTTCTTGATTTGTTGTTCAATGTTTGGATCTTAATCATCTTCTTCTTAGGTTGATACTGCCAATTGTATCTATGTACCAACAAAAAATTGTAATTGTGTATCAGAAAAAAGTGATACGCCTATTATCAAATTTTATCTTCTTCAATTGATATAAACAATTGTATTTATGAATCATAAAAAATTGTATATGAGTATCCAAAAAAATTGATATAACTATTATCATATTATATTTGTGTATCAGAAAAAAAAAGTTAATACAACTATTATCAGAAAGAGTTATATTTGTGTATTTGTTTTAGGAGTGATATAATACATAAATATGTCCTTTAACATAACCTCAATTCATATTTATGCCTTTCAACGTAACTTTGGGTGTGCATAAGTAAGCACTTACACTTGTATAAAGTTAAACAAATAGACACACGTCCTATGTGGCATCCTACATGGAAATTTTCATCATATGTGGTGTCCTATGCATGCGTAATATGCCATGTAAGACTCATATGTCTACTTGTTCAACTATACACAAATAAAAGAGTCTACTTGTGCACATCCAAAGTTGAAAGGTATAAATATAAAATGAGCGCAAGTTAAATGACACATTTACGTATTATACCAAGTGTATTTGTCTATATATGTTTCAATTTCAAAGCTAATATGTGTATCTATGAGAGAGAGGAGAGAAGCGAGTGAGATTTGGGATAGAGAGAGGATATTGTGTATATGTGATTTGTGTATCTCAGTTTCAATTAAGATACAAGTTATATCTAATCGTCTCTCTCCTCTCTAAAATTATTGTTATGAATTATAATTATGTAAATTATTACTACTTTATTCATAATTATGATCCAAAACTATAGTTATTTATAAAAAAATCTAATTTTAAATGTTACAAATTACAAAATCAAAAGTAATTACTCACACAAAATGAAAATAATTTTAAACAAAAAAAATTCACTTGCTCTCGATATTTACACCAAATTAAGTACATTAGTTTATTATTAAGGGAAAACTTAATAAATATACTATATTAAGAAAATATTTACCATTTATAGCAGTAACATCTTCTTTTCACTTGATCACTTTTAATACATTTATAATACAATTTTAATACATATTACAAAAAACAATTTATAAAAGACATATAATACAAGTTTTATTGATAAATAATACATTATCACACATTTTAATACACTTATAATACAATGTGTCAATTTCTTACCAAACAAACATAATATATTTTAAAACAATTATAATACATATATACTGCATACATAATTCACTTTTAATACATTTTATAGATTCATCATAGTATTGCTATATATTGCTATAAATGATAATAAATAAAAAGTATTGCTAAAATCAGTAATTATTTATTAAAAATACCTATTTAAGTAATATTTCCTAGGGGATGAAAATGCGATAAAAGTATGTACTAATAAATTAATTAATTTACTTATCACAATTTATATAAAAAACACATATATATGTAATTAGCAAATTGTCAGGTGCGGATCCATGCGTTTCTTCATAAATATAATCAACAGGCGGACGCTTAACGTATAAGCCTCAATATAAATTAAGCCCCACAATACAAGTTATGTTGGGATAAATTAGGTTGGAATTAGTAATGTTGGAAGTAATTTTTATTGCTTGTTTGGTTTGTCATATTCAAACTTATATTCATTGCATAATTTCTAAGAATAAGTTATTTGTTTACAAAATTACCCTCCACCTTAATTTGTTTTTTTTTTACATTTTCTTTGACTTTAGTTATTCATTCTTAAAAATAAAATTTCCATCTTATTTAACTTAAATATTTTTGTGTGTGCATTTCCATGATTGTGCCATGTATTTTTAAAATTAGACTTTCATCTTATTTAACTTAAACAAGTTAACTTCCGTCTTATAATTTACCTTTAAAATAAATTTTCCATCTTATTTATGTTTAAAATAAAACTTTCATCTTATTTATCTTAAAAATAAAATGTCCATCTTATTTAGCTTAAAAATAAATGTTCATTTAAGTTTATTAAAGTAAAAGAAATTTTATTATTAAAGTTATCTACATTTTAATTGATATATAAAATTTAATTTTAAGTGAGCAATAAATTATTTAATTAAAAATATGTAATTTAATAGTGGAGTGAACATTTTAAGAGAAATAAAAATATAAATAAACATAAGAATTGGACAAAAAAATTCAACTTATAATATATTCATAAATAAAAATTGTATTTATAAAATGTAATTTTTTAATAGAAAAATAGTTTATCATAAAAATAGCAATTAATTAAGGTCGTGAATATTATTATAAATGTTATTAAAAATTATGTTAATGTACATGATTGTAAAAGTGGTGTATAAAAGGTATTTAAGGGGTGTATTTTTTGTTATTTTGCATATTTTATCTCAGGATAAGTTATTCTGGAATTACTATTCCGACCTCGGAGGGATAACTTATCCCAGCACTAATTGTTAGTCTTGTGATAAGTTATCTCATCCTTTGCAACCAAACAAGGGATTAAAGGGCATTCAAAAATTATCACGAAATTAACTTCTCTTATCTCTCACATCAAACGACCCCAAAGCGTTTTGCAATACCCCTTCCCAAAGGGAGTCCCAAAACTACATTTTACCTGTTATACCTTCAATCATATTTATCCACCATCCGTTAAAACGCCATGTCCCACTAAAACTTATCTCTGATTCATCTATCCTTCATGTATTTTAGTCATGAATTCACCCTTGTAAAATCATCTGAATACAAGTTTTTTAATGTTGAAGTGGTTGGTTTTAATGTTGTTTCAGATTTTCGACTCAAATCGTTAAAATCCAGTCAAATTAATCAGTGTCTTTTAAACAAGAGAAAATTGCTCGGATAATAATCATGACCCCTCACTTCCAACCTTTAAGGTTGTCATGAGATTGAGTCATCAAGGAAATAAAAAGGTGAAAGCTCTGGAGGGGTAGAAAAACAATTTTAAAAATTCAGTGTTTTACCTTCAATTTTAATTAGCTCCATAATACTCCCTATTTTCAGATTTAGATACCCAACCTAAATGTCCAAGTTTCTTATTTCACTTTGAAACTTTTCAAAACTGGAAACCTTTTGAACTTCCCCTTCAGATTCCACATACAGTAGCAAAGATTAGCTTACATGACATTTTATATACTGCCTCCCTCCGTTTCAAAAAGAGCGGTCTAGTTTGACTTGACACGGAGTTTAAAAAAATAAAAAAGACTTTTGAATCTTGTGATCCTAAATTAAAGTTATGTCAAATGTATAAAATTGTCTTTTAATCTTGTGGCCATAAAATTTCAGGTGAAAAGTTGAAATTAAAATATTAGATTAAAAAGGGATAGAGGTCATTTTTTTTAAAACAAACTAAAAAAGAAAGTAAGTCATTCTTTTTTAAACAGAGAGAGTATCAAATATATGAAAATGGAAAAAAATTGAACATTCATACAGTCTCTAATTAATTCCATTTAACTCAACATATGGTTCCAATCAGGGGCGGACCTACAGTGGTTCAAGTGGGTTCATATGAACCCACTTCGTTGAAAAATAACACTGTATATATATGTATATTTAATCAGTTTTTAAAATTTTATATGTATATATTAAATTTTGAACCCAGTAACACAAGTTGAAGCTTAGCCGAGTGGCTGAGGGGGTTCAATTTTCCCAGCCAACCCGGGATCGAATCCCTATAGCCACATTTCAGTTTTAATTCGTTTTTTTTATACATAAAACATTCACACACAATTTTGTCCTAAGTAACTTTTGTCCTTTTAGTTACTTAGGAACTATAAAAAAGTAGAACAACTTTTTACTTTTACATTTAAAGTCCAATAGTCAACAACTTTTGTCCTTTTTGTTTTTTTTTTTTTTTTAATTTAAAAAAACTCAACCAAAAAGGCACTAATCCCTATTATTTTCAATTCTAAAAATCCTTTTATCTTCTTCTTTGTTGAAATCTTCTTGAACCTCTCTTACTTTTCCCCCCAAAATTTTTGAGCATATTTTTTTGTTGAAGGAAAAAAAACTCTCCCCATCTCTCAACTTGAACCTCTCTTATTTATTTTTTATATTCTTGAACCCACTTCGTGAAAATCCTGGGTCCGCCACTGGTTCCAATAGGAAGGACTAACATTATTAATTTGCTAGCTACATAAGGTGAAACTTTGCAGCCAGCCATGACTGATGACACAAATTAAACAAGCTAAACATAAATTGCTCTCAGCTCTACAAAGGGCCGCATGCTTGTACAGTTGCAGCAGTCATTTGCTCACTCTCAATTCCGGCATTACAAATATTCGCGATACCACGTATATGTTTCTTTCCATATGAGCTTAATTTTCCACAATGTGCCTCAAAAATCTCGACCTACATATATATACATGAAAATAAAAAAAACAATCTCATGATTCCATATACGTGCATAAGAAGAATGTTTTATAATTAGGCTAAATACTTACATAGGATTTAAGGCAATCCCAGTTATCAACTAGTGGTTGTCCAGCAGATCGAACACTTTGTAGTGCCTTGTTACCATATTCAACTCCAAACAGAAGATCTCCAATATGTTTTACGCTATTGTCCACTTGACTTCTATGTGCTACAACTTTAATAAGTTTGGCGCGAGCTTCAAAATAGTCATCAGAACCTTCAGGAGCATCTTCGTACTGCCAACATTTAGAAAGAATGAATCAGAATTATATTTTCACGTCTTTCTTGGAAAGGAAAAAACATTAAATTATATATAGTATATGACTTGATGTGTTGCAAAGAAAGGTAGGGACATACTTTGGATTGCCAGTAGAAAAGTTCAGTTTCTCGTTGTTCAACATTCTGTGACGATGATTTATAAGAATTCATGGAGACATGAGAGTGGTTTATCGAAGCAACGCCCATATACTGGAAAAGAGTATCAACACTTAACACCATATCACCATATTGCATGACATGAGAGCCATATGTTAGATTGGCTGCTGTTCTGTTTGCAATCTGATCATAGTGAAACATAATTATCATTTGTTCTTAAGAATAGGCTATAATTGGTTAAAACATGCATATACATAATTGAGATTACGTATAGTACAAGCTCTTACCCTATCATACTGATCATCTAGAGTTTCAGTTTGTCGATCTTGAACATCACTGTATATCAATATATCAAGATATATGAAGAAGTTTCATTAATATTATAGTTTTGAAAACTTTAAATCAATTGATTTTCCCTCGATCAGGGACTTGAAAAGTTGTGTGTTACGCTACCTGTCCTCCATCCAAGCAACACTGTACAAGTCTCCTAAGCACACACCTTTAAACTCAGGAGGGGGACACTCTACAAGGCAGGGATCGCGTGCATCACCCACACCACAATATGTTCCCCAACTACTTTCATTGGGATTTGATGCAGTCGTAACATAAATATCTAAACCTTCAGGAAGAAGACCATCAAACATGCTTCCAGACTCACAAGCTTCTAAGTAAAATACCTAAAACATATAAGAAAAAACAGCATCCAGCATTATATTAGACCGAAGGGAGTAAATGACTTAAGATTAACTGAAAGAAGGAAGTTACCAGTTTACTATATGTCCCAGAAGCATGCTTCTTTTTCAACACGTTAATCAAATCATTCGCGTAGACAACTCCAGTTGGCATTGCTGTTCATTTTGAAACATGAAATAAACAAATATGAACATATAATGAATGTGTGTGTGTATGTGTGTGATGACGATCGAATCACTTACAAACAATTCCAGGGCCACCATGATCAACATAGTAGATGAAAATATGGTCATTTGGAGCGCTGTTCAAAACTTTACCACTTCCTCCAGTTATACCACTTTTGTTGGCAAGAATAACATTGAAAAAGTTTTCAGCATTAACATCTTCACCTACATAATCCTGTCCCAACAAAATATAATCCCGGCCCTCATCAACGTACGTAACACACATTCTAAGTATTTTTGAGGGATTGAATTGCTCGAAAAGAGAGGGAAAAAAAAGACACAAACCTTAATAACACCTTTGTAAACATCTTGGCCATGTGGATTATTGATGATGACTCCAGGTCGAGGATTCATAGTATTGTTAGCAATATCATCGTACATGAATACAATAATGTTCTCGTCTTTAAGACCACCTTTCTTGAGTAATTGATAAGCGTGACATACATCAGCCTGAAATCAATCAATAAAATGACAAAACAAATCATCACTCAACTCTAACACAACATTTTTAAGTACGTTGTTAAATCGCTCGTAGCTAATAACCTGATGCCTGTAATTCCACCATCCATTAGAGCCAGCAACTAGGACAGCCCATTTGGTCCCTACAGTTTCTTCGGTTAAGAATTTAGAGACACTACGACCTTCAATGCTGGCCCAAATTGAGAGCACAACAAAAAGTGCAACAAATACTTTGTACTTAAATATCATTGTATTGTGCTTTATGGTTAATTAACAAATAAATTGGATAATTGGACTATTGAGTTGTATGGTAATATTGATGTATGAAATATATATATAGGACTTTAAACTCCTTTAAGCCAACACTAGAGACATACTATGATCAAGACAAGTAGACAACGTAGATTTCAAAGTTCTAAAGGGGAAAAAACCATGAAATATATATCTAGACATTGACAAATATTGCAATAGATTTATTCCCCTTCTTTTACAAGAAATTTCTCCACACTTGCGACAAGTTTTTCATGTCATTTTTTTGGGTTTCCATCTGGTGTTCAAAGCTCATATTGGAGGTTCAATTAAATTCTGATTCATGTCATTCTTTTTGTTTCTAACCCAGTGTCCAGAGTCTGTATTGAAACTCATATTGGAGGTTCAGTTAAATTCAGATCAATGCCAATTTTTTGTTTCTGACCCGGTGTCCCGAGTTTGTGTTGAAGGTCCGACTAAATCCGGATCCATGTAAAAAACAATTGGCTTTCCACTCGGTGTATGGAGCCTGTATTGGAGCTCCGACTAAATTCGAATTCATGTCATTTTTTTGGTTTTCCACCTGGTGTCCTGAGTTTGTATTGGAGCTCCGACTAAATCCGGACTCATGTTTTTTTTTTTTGGTTTTCACTCGTGCACAGAGCCCATATTGGAGCTCCGACTAAATGTCTGGATCACGCATTGCATTGTCTGTTTGGGGGGTGGCACTCCTAACAAGATTTTCTCCATACCCAGAGCTCGAACCTGAAACTTCTAGTCAAGGGGGCAGCAATCCCACTACTACACTACAATTCATGTTAGTCAAGCTTTCATGTCATTATTACATCCGTACTATACACTCATGTTTTCCATTTTTTATTTTTATTTTTGTTATTTTGGTGTATTGATGCACATAAATGACCAAAATCAATTATTTTAACACAATCAAAGGATCATTTAGTAATCACCCGCACAAGGTCAAATTAAAAATATATATAATTATAATTACTCTAATTTTAGAGGGATTAAAACCAAACATGTCATTCCAAGGAAACGAGGTTCTAGGTTACTTCTCTCTCACCACATTTTAAAGGAATTATGTATTCTGAAATGAAATACCAGATAACTATGATGACTATAAGGTTAAGAAATAATTAATTAAATCATTCGAAACAAACAAATTCACAAAACAAAAATAGCTTTTCAAGTCAAATCAACATTGTGTCTACGGAAAGTTTTATGGTATATATACAAGGACAGGTGATGTTCTCTTGAAGTTAACAATTAAGTTTGTCCGTATTGTATAAGTTTAGTTTCAAACAATGAGACATCCTTCAAAAGTTTGGAAGAGAGATTTCGAAAGCTCGAACTTTTTGCTAGCCCCTCCTTCCCCTGCTGCCTATTCTGACCATCGGAAGTATACAATAACAATGTCGAAGCATAAAGCACCGTCTGATCGTGAGACTACCTAGTTAATGTCCTCCAATGGCACCACCTTGACAGAAACAATAGAAGTAACAAATAATGCACGAAATAAGAGCTCTATTTCCAATAAGATCAACTTTCTTTCTGTATGTGTAATGTGTAATACACTGTACTACACATAATTGGTTCATTGTGAGGCGATCCAGGATGTGTACAGTGTATTACATGTCCTGGATTGCCTCACAAAGAACCAATTATGAAGGAGGAAAAGTGAGTGACCAACACTAGGCGTTATGAAAATGTTACTCTTCTCATCCTGAAATGTCAATTAATTAATCATTTATCATGAGTTAAGAAGGGTTACTTCTTGGAAATTAGCTCCTGAGTAGTCACCATTCACCCCTATAAAAGCAATTGAATCACTACCTTGTAAATCATCGGATTTTTTTACAGAATACTTCAATTTCTCTCTAACAATTTTGTTACTTGTTCATTAGCTTTGAGCAATCTTCAAGCTTGTCCGAAGAAATACATCATTGGATTCAGGCCAACACATGCTACATTTCCTTAATATTATTTAATAAAGTCAATTTGTTTTATCTCATTTATTATTTACAACTTTATATATTTATCTACTTTTTTCGTCTCTACTACCCCCTAGTTTCAACATATGATATGGTGGAATGAGGTGGTCTGAATAAAAAGTTGATGCTAGTTGCAATTGACAATCAGCTCAAACTTGATAGGTCGTTCGTTTGTGTGGAGAATCTCACTAGCTACTCGAGATTTCTGTATCTGTTTAATTTTGCATCCATTCTCTTCCTTGTTATTTTGTTCAACTAATTCAAAAGAGCAATTTTTGCAATCTGTTAACCACTACACTAAACCTTCAACTTGTATCTAGAGGTATCAACACTTAAATACATATTCATTAAACCAAATTTTGACCTATATATATACAAGGTAATTTTTCGACGAATAGGTGCCCGAGGGTAGCTCCGCCCCTAGTTTTGACTTTTGATGAAACTAGCAAATTCTTGGCCATATTTTTGAAGTATTTCCTGGTGCCCAAGGTTTCTGGATTTTCTTGATAACAAATAATGATATGGTGAACAAATGAGTGTACAAAATGCATTATATTTACACAAAATGTTTTAGTAGTATGTTTTATTTATATATTAAAAAAAAAACTTGGATTTCGTCTCATGAGTTTGTAGTCTTCATACATTTGTCTTCAAGAATTATACTCAGAACTCAATAATCTAACAAAATGTGAATATCAATATACTAATATAAATAGCAACATCAGCACCTAAAAGCTTTGGCTTCAAGTACCATTCTGCAGAGATGCACCTTGTTGCAAGAACAGGCAAATGACAGTACTGTCATCTCTCTTGCTGTTTGGAAACCTCTGTTTCCATGCATCTAAAGAAGCTTGTACTACTGCTTCTGCCGCTGCTGCTGCATTATTTGTTGCACACACTATGGAGACGACTTGATCGTTGCTCAACACATCCCACACCTATTTTACAATGAAAATAAACATGTCAAGTCTTGTAGAAACAGAACAAAATATACTAGTACTAGTACTAGTACATGGTTAAAATAGGCTTACCCCATCAGTTGCTAGAACAACAAACTGGTCATTCGGAGTAATGTGGTGATAAGAGACATCAGGCTCGGAGATTATGCCAAGATATTTTAGCATGAAATCCCCAAAAGATCTTGTCATGGCCAAACCAGGAACATCTTCATTGGGTAAATACACTCTCTGGATATGTGGCTGTTCTTGCCGTGCAAAAACTCTTCCACCACACCTCCTTATTCTTTCTGCTTCAGCTGTATGCATCAAACAGTTTATGATCATTTAGTCAATAGTAAACAACAACAACAACATATCCAGTGTAGTTCTACATAGTGGAGTCTAATGTACGCAGACCTTACCTCTACCTCACAGGTGAGGTAGACAGACAGGTTGTTTCCGATAGACCGTTAGTAAGAACAATTTGAAATTGAACTATGCCGAATGTGTCATGTCAATATTATGAAAAAAAGAGTCTTACAAGTCAGACTAGGCTTCAAATCAGTAGTTAACTGAACAGCCTCAATTACTCCCTCCTCTTTCTTTCTTCCTAGTACAGCTCGAGAATCTCCAAGATTCGCGATAACTAGATCATCATCCTATAACATTTTCTATATTAGATTCTCCAAAACTTTAAGCAATATTCGCGATAATCAGGTCAAAGAAAGATTTTTCTCGTTACCTGTCTTATAGCAACGACAGCAGTTGTTCCACTGAAAGAAGAGTCCAAATTCTCAAGACTTTGAATATTTCTATCCATCACCATAAAGGAACCCCAACAGGCCCTTTTCCACTTGTTAAAATTCCTTCTCATCACATTTTGATTCACAGAAAAGATCTTTGGCAGTGAAAATGTAAGTTTCAGCAGCAAAGATGGCAACTTATTCATAACAAACTTGCTGACTATTTGTCCATTCTCTCCATGTCCATCAAAAACTCCACCAAAAACTCCATTTTCTACACCATACCCCTGCCATAAAAAGGAAAGTTTCCATTTTAAGATACCCCATGTAATGAAAAAGGCATAATACATAAACATGATCCTTAACTTGGCATCAGCGGACAACTATGACCTTTAACTACTGATACCCCATGTATTATGTGATGTAGGACACGTGTGTCTATTTGTTCAATTTTATGCAAGTTTAAGTATCTATTTGTACACACTCAAAGTTGGAGGGCATAGTTGTCCGCTAAAACCAAGTTAAGGATCATGTTTACGCATTATGTCAATGAAAAACTAAGTAAACATGTTGCAAAATGACAAACCTGATAGAGAATAGCAAAATCTTGATTTATTCCTTTATTTCCTTGTTCAGAAAAAACAGAACCAATTACTTGTTTGTACCTATTAATGTTGTAGTCTTCATAGAGAACAACATTTCCATTCCCAAAATCAACAGGTTGAATCTCAAAAGATGCAGAGGATATGCAGATTCCCATATTGTCAACTACTTTTTTTAAATTTATTTGTGATGCTTATTTGAACAATTGGAGGAAGAGAATCCTTTATATAAAATAATTGTTAGACTATTGGAAGGAGTTGAAAAATGAGATTAATGAATATTCTGAATAATAATTGTGGCTGACAAGGATTAGAAAAAACTGATTCAGGTTCAACAATTCACTTTTTTAATTGTGATGTATTATTTTAGATTACCCTAAGATTCACTTTAAGGGGCATCTGAGTTGTACTCTTGTAGGATTAATTAACATAAGCACACTTTAATTATTTAATAAAGGTAAGACTTCAGCTTTTAACACCTCAGGTTATAGTTTATGAATTATGATGAATCTTAATTTCCAAGAAGCCTAAGGATGTTTTAGAGTGTTAAGTTAAACCTTGGAAAATATACTCCCCGCCCTCTCAAATTATTTGTCATATTTATTTTATTACACGCCCCAAAAATATTAATTAAGAATAGTTTGACTATTTTATTTTTATTTATATCTTAAGATATATATAATATTTCTTTTTTTATTATTTACTTTA